GGAGCCTGATGTGGGACTCGATCCCGGGACTCCAGGATCATGACCTGAGCCGAAGGCAGTCGCTTAACCAACTGAGCCACCCAGGTGCCCAAGGTTCGCTTTTTTAATATATGAATGTCTGACTGTCCCAGCATCATTTGATAAAAACTATCCTTTCTCCTTTGAATTACTTTGGCCGCTTTGTTGAAAATCAATTGACTGTGTATTTGTGCATCTACTTCTGGACTCTCTATTCTGTCCTATTGATCTATATGCCTATCCATTTACCAGCACTACATTGTCTTGATTATAGCAGTTTTCCAGTGAAGTCCTGAAATCAGATGGTGTGAGTTCTTCAACTTTTTTGTTCTTTTTCAGAATGATTTAGCTATTCCATATATTTGCTTTTCTGTGTAAATTTTAGAACCAGCTTGCTAAATTCTTTTTTTTTTTTTTAAGATTTTATTTATTTATTCATGAGAGACAGAGAGACAGAGGCAGAGGGAGAAGCAGGCTCCCCACGGAGCAGGGAGCCCGATGCGGGACTCGATCCCAGGACCCTGGGATCATGACCTGAGCCGAAGGCAGACACTTAACCGACTGAGCCACCCAGGCATCCCCAGCTTGCTAAATTCTAAAAAAGCCTGCTAAGATTTGGCTTGGGATTGTGTTGCATCTATAAATCAGTTTGGAAAAACTGCTTTCTTAACAATAATGAGTTGTCTAGCCCATAAACAGCATATTTCTCATTTAGGCTTTAATTTCTCTCAGCAGTGTTTTAAAGTTTTCAATGTACCAGTCTTGCATTTTTTTCATTAACTTTATTCCTAAGTATTTTTTATCCTATTACAAATGAAATTGTTTTAAAAATTCCATTTCCAGCTGCTTACTGCCACTACAATGGAATTGACTTGATCATTAATCTTGAATCCTGTATCTTTGGTTAATTAGTTATTAGTTTTAGTAGCTTTTTTGGTAGATTCCTAAGGATTTTTCTATGTATATTTATAAATCTTGCCATCCATGTCTGACTTTTAAAAACCTGATGATGACTAAATCTAAATATTCATTTTTATGGAACACCTACAGGCTTTCAAAAATAAAAAAATATAATGTGTTAGGGGAGATGATGTATGAAGATGTAAAATGAGAAAAAACCCACTTTCCTAAAACACAGTAACACTGCCCTAAGACAGCAATAAAAGTGATACCACAGGTAATACATGATAAGCTGCTTATTTATAACACAGATAACTGGTAATAGTTTAGAAGAAAGAGCAATAACTCAAAGGGGGCAAGTGAGGAAAAGTAGAGATTGGATTTGAGCAGTCTTCAAAAGTGTGTGGAAAGGTTCTGGGGAGGCAAAGAACAAAGGGACTTCACCCCAGGCAGATGGGAGAGAAGGAACAAATCAATGTACTAAGGGGACAAACTAAATGACCCAAACTAAATGGCAGCAAGAAAACCTGTTTCAGAGACCATCTGAGAAAGCAGTGCAGATGGGGCTGGGAAGGTGTGCCTGGGGCAGGCTGCAGAGCCCCGAAGCAAACTGAGGACCTAGGTGGGCTTTCCCCTGTGAAGGTGTCTGAGAAGGGGCAGGAGGACTATGAGGCCTTGGAAGTAAGAGTATGAGGCGTGGTAATGCTGGGCAGGACTGTCTGCCAGGCAGGAGGCTCAGCCCAGGTACCCACAGGAAAACTGGAAAAGGTTAAGGGCCTATGGTGACAGGCAGTGAGAATGACAAGGGACAACCAGAGATGATCACAAGAGGGATTTTGACCGAATGAACAGTTCTTTGAGAATTTAAAATGCGGACCTTTGCAGAAAATAATACATAAAGAAGGAAGATTCTAGATGGAACAGGGAAAACTGGCATCAACTGTGGTGGGGGAGGGAGGAACAAACAGATGAGAGGTTAAATTTTTGGGCTCATTGGGCAAAACAAAGAATAAGCCTCTCATATAGATTTTGAGCCAGATATTTCATTCATGTACTTATTCAATGAATTGTAATGTGCGGCTACTAGGTGCCAGGCACTGTTCTAAGTGCTGGGGATACAGGAGCAAGCGCAAGAGACAGAATCTCCCTAACCACGCAGATAACACTGTGAGGTTAAACTAGAGAAAACACTACACTCCCTTTTAAAAGCTACCTTTCAAGTCATCAGAGATTTCACCCCAACCCTGAAATATCAGATCCCGGGGCGCCTGGGTGGCTCAGTCGTTAAGCGTCTGCCTTCGGCTCAGGTCATAGTCCCAGGGTCCTGGGATCGAGCCCCACACTGGGCTCCCTGCTCAG